CAGTATCAGCGCGACGCCAGGCAGGAGGCAGTCATTTTGAATTGACGGATGAGGGATAAAGAACGGGCAGCGCCAGTGGTTGAACTTTCATGTACGAAACTCCTCCCAATATATTATTTCCACAAAAATATGGTCTAATATACCGTCACTCACATTCTATTAAAACTTTCTATCAAAATACCTTTCTAGCAACGTACTTTGGTTAGATGTGTGTGTGTATATACCCTTTTTTAACCCCGTAATTAGGATTAACGATTTTGTTTCATGGATTATTTAGAGATTTGTATCTTAGCAATTGTTGACATCTTTATCACATCTGTGGCGTGTATGTATATATTTCTTGACTTACTGAGGTGGAGGAAAGCAGCCTGATGGGGGAGGAATGTTTTATCAGGCGCGAGATGGTTCTCTGAAGTGGAGGAGTGTGAGGGGAAGAAGGGCGCGGTGAGGATGGTCAGGTTGTGGTAGCCATTTACTGGTAAGTCCTGCCCTCGTTTGCTCATGATGCTGGAGGCTGCGATCTGCAAGATGAGACGTAAGATGAGGTGATGTTTGCGGGTATCCGGAAGAGAGATAGGGTGAAAATCACAGTGGAATTAATAAGGGTGGGAAAAAAGGCTCTATGTTCAATATAAGGCAAGGTATTACAGTCGGGAATCACTGTATCATAGTCAGGAGTATTACATTCAGGCGTCACTGCATTAGACAACCGACAGCAGGTAAGGCAGGGTTCGGGAGCTAGCGCCCGATTCTGTAATCGTTGCACAGTGTATATTACCCCCATATACTCTACATTCCCCACTCTCTATCAAACCCCTCCAATACCACCCACTCTAAAGTCCACTACGGGCTCGCCATAGCCCGTGCTACTTGGAACTTTTTGTTCCAAATAGCGAATCTTAAACAACAACCACCCTAACAGGCCTACACCGACGACTATCATGCCCCCCTATAGGGCTACACCGACGACTATCATGCCCCCCTATAGGGCTACACCGACGAATATCATGCCCCCCTATAGGGCTACACCGACGACTATCATGCCCCTATAGGCTTACACCGACGACTGTCATGCCCCCTGACAGGCCTACACCGACGACTATCATGCCCCCCTATAGGCCTACACCGACGACTATCATACCCCCTATAGGCCTACACCGACGACTATCATGCCCCCTATAGGCCTACACCGACGACTATCATGCCCCCTATAGGCCTACACCAACCCCTACCTATAGGCCTACACGAGCCCCCACCACTTACCTTCTCCATGAACCTGGAGGAGCCCTGCATCCTCACCCCGCCCACCACCACGTGCAACTGACCCATGCCGTCCTGAGGGAGAAGAATGTATATCAATTAACCACAGAAAACGTCAAGCCAGCACGGCTATTTCCCACCACAAACACTAGTATTATTAAGTATGTGAGTTATGTTATTGTAATTGTTGTTGTAACAACGCTGCCTGTTTGCTGGGACATGTTACACTTCTGTTCTCAATTTAATTCAATTTATTTACACTTAAAAATATTGTTACCTATTTAAACAGATGTCAATATTCGTTTTTTTCCGTCAGTAGACCAATAATGACTACTATTTTCAAGTCTATTTTATTCACACACGCGCGCGCATAGATGGGAATCTGTACACCAGTTGATTGACGGTTGCGAGGCGGAACCAAAGAGCCGAAGCTGAACCCCCGCAAGCACAACTAGGTGAGTACAGGCACACACATTAGGCTACTAAAGAAACACATTCGGGAAACTGGAAAAAGTTTCAAAATTTTGCGACGAGGCTAGTCCCAGTTGCAAAGGATGAGATATGAAGAGCGACTGAAGGAACTGAACCTGACGACGCTAGAAAAAAGGAGGGAGCTGGAAGATATGACAGCAGCATACAAAATACTTAGGGGGATTGTCAGAGTGGAAATAAATGAAATGTTCACCCAGAATACCAATAGAACAAGAGAACATGGGTGGAAGCTAGAAAATCAGATGAGTCATAGAGATGTTAGGAAGTTTTCTTTTATCGTGATAGTAGTGTGGGAAATGGAATGCACTTAAGGAGCACATTGTGGAAGCAAACACTATTCAGAACTTTAAAACTAAGTATGATAGTGAAGTAGGACAGGAGTCATTCCTTTAAACAACCGGCAGCTAGAAAGGCGGGACCCCAAGAACCAACGCTCGATCCTGTAGGCACAAATAGGTGAATACACACACAAACATACAATGTGAAATGTGCGTGGCGAAGACCGTAGAGTTTCATTCACACTTGTTCCAAATCCAATAAATAACTTTATTTTTAAATGGTTATTTATTTCCGTATACAAGTCTGATATTAGCAACCAGACCTCCAAACATAAGAGCAGTTTCAGCAACTATTGGTCGAACGTACAAAAATGAACTGTTTCACCCAGAAACGTTCGCTAATTGTACTATTGAAGCACTATAAACAGATATATATATATATATATATATATATATATATATATATATATATATATATATATATATATATATATATATTGGTGTATACTGGCAGCAGGTTTTCTTTCAAACATGTTTCATTGAATATGACCGCATATTCTGTTTTTATTATTTTCTGGTTTAGGGCTTCTATCCCTCTAACTATTTTCTTAGCATCAGGGCTTAATTGAAATAGGAGTTCTCCAAAACTCATTTTCGTACTTTTAAGGTGAAGAAAAGAAGTGATTTACTATAGAGTGTATTACACTTATTTGTATAATTTGCACGACGTTTCGAACCTCCATGGTTCATTCTCAAGTGAACAGATCTTACAATACTAGTTGATTTTATACCCGCATTAGGTCAGGTGATAATACAATGAAGGTGAAAACATGGGGGGATACATAAGGGATAAACATAGGGGCTGCAGAAGGCTTATTGGCCCATACGAGGCATCTCCTATCTAAACACAAAGATTAATCCAGTGTAATTGGCCTGTTATGTTGGACATTGTCTTCTGTGTTGGCATCGATATGTTCTTGTTCTTGTTCAAATCACGGAACTATTTACTCTACCCACCATGAGAGTAAGGACAAGATAAGAACATATCGATGCCAACACAGAAGACAATGTCCAACATAACAGGCCAATTACACTGGATTAATCTTTGTGTTTAGATAGGAGATGCCTCGTATGGGCCAATAAGCCTTCTGCAGCCCCTATGTTTATCCCTTATGTATCCCCCCATGTTTTCACCTTCATTGTATTATCACCTGACCTAATGCGGGTATAAAATCAACTAGTATTGTAAGATCTGTTCACTTGAGAATGAACCATGGAGGTTCGAAACGTCGTGCAAATTATACAAATAAGTGTAATACACTCTATAGTAAATCACTTCTTTTCTTCACCTTAAAAGTACGAAAATGAGATTTGGAGAACTCCTATTTCAATTAAGCCCTGATGCTAAGAAAATAGTTAGAGGGATAGAAGCCCTAAACCAGAAAATAATAAATACAGAATATGCGGTCATATTCAATGAAACATATATATATATATATATATATATATATATATATATATATATATATAAGCAATCCTAAATACATCACACTTCATCTTAGGCCATTTTTTAGTACATATATTGGCCTGATATAATAGGCCCAGGAAAATTTAGTTGTTTTATTTTTTTGTATATTTTAAAAAATATAATTTTTTCCACAGAATTAATAGCACAAAAAGTTGACTTTTCTGGGTCCAACATAACATTTTGTTTTAATTTTTGTATCTTCAGTCAATAGTTTCTATAAGCACTAGATTTTTGGGGGAGCACAAGCTGGATATAATAAAAAAATACCTACTATATACCCATCTTGAGGTTATCTTGAGATGATTTCGGGGCTTTAGTGTCCCCGCGGCCCGGTCCTCGACCAGGCCTCCACCCCCCAGGAAGCAGCCCGTGACAGCTGACTTAACTCCCAGGTACCTATTTACTGCTAGGTAACAGGGGCATTTAGGGTGAAAGAAACTTTGCCCATTTGTTTCTGCCTCGTGCGGGAATCGAACCCGCGCCACAGAATTACGAGTCCTGTGCGCTATCCACCAGGCTACGAGGCCCCCATAGCCACAAGGTATTCACTCACCTGGCACCCATACCCAAACATTGTACTCATTATCCTCAACTCATTGTAGTACATGCACCCGGTATGCATTATACAGTGAATTTATTATATTTTTACAACTCGTTATACTCTGAGAAATTGTACGTTCAAACGCATTTTGCTCCCTTAGCTCATTATATTGTAAACTCATTATACATCCTGCATTCATTATACTACATTCATTATCCTACCTGCAATCATTATACTACTTGAACTTATTATACTTCATTTTGCGGCTATTATCTCTGAAATCATCATGCCAACTTTAGTCATTGTACTCTGTTCAATAATTCTAATTACCATAGTTATTATACTTTATGTATTCATTATACTCCCTTTAGTGGTACTGTCTATAGTAATTAAACTTCAATTGCCATACTTTCTGTAGACATTATATTTGACGTAATCATTATATTCTTTGTAGTCATTGTACTCACCATGGTCATTTTACAACCTCACACTCCATTTAGAAGCTATGGAAGCTATATTCCCTATAGTCATTATACTCCATTATACAACCCCCCCCCCCTTTGTAATCATTATATAAGCCACTTACCACATTGAAGTGGATAGTCTTGAGGATCCAGAGTGTGAGGGAGAGGTTGATGACGGAGAGTGCCAGGAGTGCCAACAGGAGGATGTAGAGGCACCGTCGCCGCCAGCCAGAGGTGGCTACCCTCACGTTGTGCCCTCCCACCACGATGGTGGGTGACCCGGAGTCCCCGCCCCAGTCCACCTGCGGCCGGTACCCCTGTACCACACCTGTGGGATGGGTACTATACTTGTTGGATGGGTATTATACACCTGTTGGATGGGTAGTACAGCTGTTGGATGGGTATTATACACCTGTTGGATGGGTAGTACAGCTGTTGGATGGGTATTATACACCTGTTGGATGGGTATTATATACCTGTTGGATGGGTATTATACACCTGTTGGATGGGTACCCACACCTGTTGGATGGGTATTATACACCTGTTGGATGGGTATTACACCTGTTGGATGGGTATTATACACCTGTTGGATGGGTAGTACACGTGTTGGATGGGTAGTACACGTGTTGGATGGGTAGTACAGCTGTTGGATGGGTATTATACACCTGTTGGATGGGTATTATATACCTGTTGGATGGGTACTACACCTGTTGGATGGGTACTATACCTGTTGGATGGGTACTACACCTGTTGGATGGGTATTATACACCTGTTGGATGGGTACTACACCTGTTGGATGGGTACTACACCTGTTGGATGGGTATTATACACCTGTTGGATGGGTACTACACCTGTTGGATGGGTACTACACCTGTTGGATGGGTATTACACACCTGTTGGATGGGTATTATACACCTGTTGGATGGGTACTACACCTGTTGGATGGGTACTACACCTGTTGGATGGGTACTACACCTGTTGGATGGGTATTATACACCTGTTGGATGGGTACTACACCTGTTGGATGGGTATTATACACCTGTTGGATGGGTACCCACACCTGTTGGATGGGTACATCTGGGGGGGGGGATGTTGGATGGTACAACTATAAATTCCTTAAAATTCAGGAACAAATGAGAGTAGATTCGTTTAACTCAAGCTTCCAAGAGGTGTGAGATAGACACGGGTGATGGTAAGGCCATGTTATGAATCCTTTGGGCCAATAGGGTCAAAATAGATACTCGTAACTGCAGTTATCTTCATTCTAATGTTCCTTATTTAACTGTTATTTTCAACTTTTGCAATTATCAAACAAAACATAATTCCCACAATAAACATTTTAGCTAAATGGTGGATAGTTGGACGCAAGTGAACTATCCGTCGTCTTAAGCACCAGCACCACATTAGCAACCCTCCACGACTCCGGTACTCTGCTCGACAGTAAAAAATTTAAACTAATGATTTAGTAAAGATGGCGGACGAGGATTCACAAACCCCATCCCCGGATACATCTAGGACTCTGGCCAACACTTCCTATAGTCCTGGGGACTTGCTTGATTATAATTTGTATTATTTCCTCTTCAAATATATTATCCTTGCTAGTCAATACGCCTTTTTAAAAGCTAAACAGTTATCGTTTAGCACCTTTTAACGACAATATTGGCTGCCAATATTGCCAAAATGAAACATTATTTGAAAACGTGGAATTATGGTTAAAAGAAACTGTACAAAAAAATGAAGCCTGCATGACGATCCTACATTATCACCGCTGTGAGCTGTGTAAACAAACGGAAGTCGGAAGTCATAGAAGCTGTAAATTGTGCAAACAGAGAAGAGCGGCATCACTCCTCGCCTCCGTAAACATCTCAGCATGTTGGTGCTCCTCATGCATCTGGCAACGCACCTTGCTGACGTCATAACTGAGCAGCCAATAGGCTCTTGTTTACGTCACAGAAATGTTTCTGGTCCAGTGTTGCCGCCAGCTTACGTCACAGCAACGTTAGGTGAGAGAAAGATGCAGGTGAGAGAAAGATGCAGGTGAGAGAAAGAAGCAGGTGAGAGAAAGAAGCAGGTGAGAGAAAGATGCAGGTGAGAGAAAGATGCAGGTGAGAGAAAGATGTAGGTGAGAGAAAGAAGCAGGTGAGAGAAAGGAGGAGGTGAGAGAAAGAAGCAAGTGAGAGAAAGAAGGTGAGGGAAAGAAACGTGAGAGAAACAGAGGCAGGAGAAGGGAAGAAGCTCGTGAAGGAAAGAGGTAGGTGAGGAGAAGAGGCAATTGAAAGAAAGAAATAGGTGAGAGACATACAGGTGAGAGGAGCAGGTGAGAGAGAGACAGGTAAAGGGAGAGGAAGGTGAGGGGAGAGTAAATGAGGGAGGGGGAGGAGGGGCCGTACAGTGGCCTTAATGGAGGTCCCCCTCCCCCCCCCCCCAAAGGGGCTCTATTAGGTTTGGGAGGTTATGGTTTAACTTAGTTAAGTGCTGAAGTGCTCACCCTTCCCCTCAGTCTCCTCCCCTCTCTTGTGTTCCCTTAGTAACCTCCCCAACTGTCCCCCCTTACCTTCTGCCCACTCTCCTGTTTACCTCTCACTCCCCTTTACCTTAAACACATTTTCCTCTCATCGTCTCTTTCTCCTTTTTTTTTGTCCATGTCTTCCACTTATTTTTCTTCCATTCTAATTCCTGTTCTGACCCCTGTCTTCCCTCTATATTTTTCACCCTATTCACTACCCTTTTCCTTCCTCCCCTCTCTCCCCTCCCCTTTCCTAGTGAGGGCTGTGGTATTTTTAGTTCAAAACATAACCGGAATTTTCCTCACACACCGGCCTTAATGTGTTAATTGTGGTGGTGGTAGTGGTGGTGGTAGTGGTGGTGGTGGTGGTGGTGGTGGTGGTGGTGGTGATGGTGGTGATGGTGGTGATGGTGGTGGTGGTGGTGGTGGTAATGGTGGTGGTGATGATGGTGGTGGTATTGGTGATGGTGGTGGTGATGGTGGTAGACTTTATCTATTAATGACTACGGGAAAGTGAGGTCTAGCTCCTCATACCCCGCCCACCAGCCTTGTTGTACCTGTTATAATTCAGCTATTCTGACGTTCGAATTCTTTGTCGAATCTGACCTTAAAGGTGTGGATGGAGGTGGTTTCCATAACTTCTTCCTTCAGTACATTCCCCTTGCAGGGAATGAGTCACAATAACGTGGCTAAAGTAAGTTGACAAGACCACACACTAGAAAGTGAAGGGACGACGTTTCGGTCCGTCCTGGACCATTCTCAAGTCGATTGTCAAAAATATCCCAAAAATATGTCAAAAGATTGATTAAAAAATATATCCCCGATTAGTTTGCGTCATCTGCAATCATCAAATTGTTCTAGGTTATTCAAACATGACCTCAAACTACCTGAGCCAATATATTTCAACTCCTTGAGATATATTTGCTCACTTTTCTATCTGATTGTATTTGCTTCCTATCTTCTGATATGTCGTGGTTAATGATAATACCCTCTATCTTCCGGCTTCCTCTTTTTGGCTAGCATACAGGAATTTCACTAGAGTAATATTCTGAAAGATCATTTTCACTGGTTGATTATATCCAGTTTGGAACTTTCCTAGCCTACAGGTACACTCAATTTCTGTTATTGCCTCACTAATCTATTTCTGGTCTCCATCCATTCTCATTTGTCTCCATTTGGCTCCGGTAGATTAAAGATTACTACCGATTTTTCCCTCTCCAGCTCCTGCATTGTACATTTTATCTTCTGGCTATTTACAGCATCTATCACTGTTGATTTACTGATCTGATGTGTCTCTGATCCCTTGAACCACTTCAGCAAAAGTTTTCTTCGTCTTATAACACACATGTGTGGGGGGAGGTCTAGAATTCGAGTCTCCTGGAGCCCTAGTGAATGGAATTTCTTCATCTTGTTGCCCATTTTCCAGTCTCATTCTATAAGGTTTTTTTTATCCCCTTGCATCCTCTGCTGCCCTTCATTCCTCTTTCATTGATTTTATTCTAATCTGAAGCTCATTTACATTTTCTTCTCTTTTGAGATTTATTTCCCTCAATTCTTCTACTTCAATGTAGCTCCCTGGAGTTGATCACTCCTGCCAAGGTTGCCCTCTAGATCCTCTGTGACCTCGAGACCCTCTGACTTCTCTTTCTCCCATACCGGAGTCTCCTGCAACTTCCTTCCCAGTGAAGCTCCTTGTAGCCCTTCTATCTCCTCCTCCTCATCCCTGTGCTTGCTTTCCTCCTCCATATCTCTTGTTGGGGCCTGGTGGTGGTGGTGGTGGTGGTGGTAGTGGTGGTGGTAGTGGTGGTGGTGGTGGTGAGGTCAGCGCTCTGGCAGTGGTGGTGGTGGTGGTGGTGGCTGTGGTGTTGGCAGGAGGCGAGGAGGGGAGCGTGCACGATGCTGGAGTGGTGCCAACCTCTGCACATAGACGCAAAGCCTCTCATAGTGGTGGTGGTGGTGGTAGTGATGATGGTGGTGGCGATGGTGGTGGTGGCGATGGTGGTGGTGGCGATGGTGGTGGTGGCGATGGTGGTGGTGGCGATGGTGGTGGTGGTTACAGTGGTATTTACCTTCCATTGATAGTGGGTTTAGTGATGTTAGTGGCTTTAATAAAGGTAGTCTCGGTAATAGTTGTGGTCATGATGATGGTGCTGGTAATGCTGATGGGAACGATGGTGGTGTTATAGTGGTAGTGGTGTTGGTAGTACTGGTGGTGGTAATGGGCGTCAGCCAACATAACTACCAGACATGTGCTAACATATCATAGCTCCCACTACCACTACCAAGACGACACAGGTGGAAGCTGAAAACACAAATGAGTCGAAAGAATGTAAGGAAATCCTCGTCCCCAGCACGGGGGCGGTCAACAAGTGCTATGTACGAAGGAAAGAGTTGTGAGAGCCACCTCCATCCACAACTTCAAGGCCAGATTCGACAAAGAATCTGAAAGTCAGCATATTTAACTTACAACACAGCAGGTGCAACAAGGCTGGTGGTGGGCGGGGCATGAAGAGCACACACATATCCACGTAGATAGGTAAACCACTACCACCATTCACCTAAACACCTATTGTGACCGCCTATCGTCACCACCCACCTACAATCCTGGTGCCCACGCCAACATGGTTATGTCGAAGATCTGTAGACAGCATGCTGGCAGGTATTTCCCCCACTGCCCACTGAAGCAGGTTCCGTGTTACTGGCCCACTAGCAACTAACTGATGCCACCCGCCAATACCCACTGGGACTTCCCATGCCAACGTTGTACCCGCACGGCGCCCCTCCCCCCCCCCCATGTCTCCTCTACTTCCCCAAGCGGTTGACGTTCATAATCGTGCTCAACCTCTAATTAGAATGATGTGTAAATTGATTTTGGCTTGAGCTTGAAGCCTAGGAACCTAGCTTAAAGCCTAGGAACCTAGCTTAAAGCCTAGGAACCTAGCTTGAAGCCTAGCAGTTATTAACCGCGCCACCATAGCCTACTGACCAGCTGTTGTCAATATTTCGATATAAAGAGTAGAAAATGAGGAATTCCTTCTAAAGCAGCACGAAATTGAGAGCGAGTTTTGGCGTAAACTGAACAAGATGTTGAAACTAACTCGAGCTTCAACAATGGGTCATGAAGTGGGTTGTTGTTGTGGTGCTCTGAGACCGTGACGTCATCAGGGAGGGGGAGGGACTTAAGCCTGACTCAATGACGTCATCTAGCGGAGGGTGGGACTTACTCCATTAATGACGTCATAACCACCACTCTACCAAGCAACTGCCTCGTATGGAGCCCTGTCCAGTGCTCGGCTGCACCTGACAGTTGACGCACGCTGAAGTCCACCTCCTCCTGTCAGAAAAGTGAAATTATATATATATATATATATATATATATATATATATATATATATATATATATATATATATATATATATAATCACTAGATTGACAATTTTTTCCCCTTTACTTCAAAGAGAGAAACAGACACTTCAACAATTTAAATATTTTATATGTAATAATTATAATAATTCATTGTATCAGGGGACAGGAAGGCAGAATGTATTCATACACGTTAGGCTTATATCGCGATCACACCCCCCCCCCCCAGGTTCCAAGGTCGAATTACTGGACACAAGCCGACTAACTCCTGAACACCTACTCTCACTGCTAGGTGAACAGACGCATTAGGCGATAGGAAATGCGTCCAACCATTTCTGTCCCGACCGGGATATAACACAAAACTTAGATTGATAAAGATTTAAGCCACCACAGAGGTAGCACGGGCATGAATAACCCGTTAATAAAACTTTTGCAAGTTTGAGTAATTAATAATGATATTCAGGTGAAGACAAGAGAGGAGCACACTGCCTCAGGTAATGAGGCATACTGATCATGTTCTCATTACACTGATAATGAGAACATGACTAGTCCAAGAAACACGGTGTGAGGTTAATGAACTCTTGCTCCCACAGTTCCTCTCAAATGTCTCCATGTACTCTAACATTTGCAGGCGAGGAGTCACAATAACGTGGCTAAAGTATGTCGACCAGACCACACACTAGAAGGTGAAGGGACGACGACGTTTCGGTCCGTCCTGGACCATTCTCAATTCGATTGTGAGAATGGTCCAGGACGGACCGAAATGTCGTCGTCCCTTCACCTTCTAGTGTGTGGTCTGGTCAACATACTCTAACATTTTCTATTCGGCGTCCTAGAAAATGGCTCCTTGTGAATGTTTAAGGGTAAACATGCATAATTTATAATTATTTTTTTTGTATACTTACCTTACAGCCACCAGACTTAGTGGCATCGGCAGGGGACAGAAACTTGGCGGCTTGTTAATGTTCTCTAGTTTATTCATGAGGGCTTTTCCCCTCCGTCTGATTTGTTCACTATAATAATAATATCTTATCATATTCGGTTTCGGCAAGTGAGATTCCATGAATTTATTTCCATATGGATGAAAAAGCGTCTAATTATCCGTCTTACAGCGTGACTCGTGGAGTTTGAAGCCATTACCCCTGGTGTAAGTTACACTGCAAATTTTAAAGAAGTGGTCTGCATTAATGTCGTCCAATCTGTTCAGTACTTAAAAGGTCTCTATGAGAGTTAGTTTAGTTCATTTATTATGCACCCCATACCCATCTTGTGGGTGGTAGTGGAAAGGGTTACAGAGGCACATAATGGGCTCAGGGATCAGCGCCTTTATGTCTGTCAGTGTTAGTTGTGTCCTCACCATTTCTTGATTTAAGAGTCGCATTTAGTTATCCATGATTTTGTCGCTGTCTTAAACTTTCTTCAAAGTAGATACCCCAAAGATATGCCGCTTGATGCAGGGCGACAAGGCTTGAAGTGTTTCCTAGAGTGACACTTGATGTTGTTGTTAGTGGTGATTGAGGGCGACGACGATCGAGGGACCGGATGCCCGATACCGGGCAATAGCAAAGAGAGAGACGGGGTCCCTACAGTCTCCTCAGGCCACGGACATGCCGGATGAAGCTGAAGGGTATGGCGTGACACCTGATGATGCTGCACAGTGCGGGGCTCCTGTCTTGTGTTGTTGATTTAGGGGCGACGACGATCGTGGGATCGGATGCGCCCCGGCGTACCCGTTAAGGGTGAATCGCGAAGCCAGGAAAGGTGGAACGCCAATCCAAATCGCAAAACGAGTGACGCCAATCACTAGAAACTAATATGCCATACGGCAAATAAACGCACAGTCAAGCAGATGATTGGGGGAGGCCCAGGAGCCCCTCAGGGTGACAAACACCGGCCCCGCGCCACACAGAGCAGTGCAGGGCTCCTGTCTTGTGTTGATGGCGGCAACTGGTCGCTACACTCCTTGTAGTGTAGTCACGTTTTCTATGAATGATGGTCCGACTGGAGTGACTTGTAGGTCAGAGGTGGCTTGGGGGGTAGAAATAGCCTAAGCTACTCTATCCCTTTGAGATATATTTCTTTTTTGTCTCAATAAACATACTTGAACTTGAAGAGGTGGCTTAATCGAAATATTTAATCACTGTTTTGATTGTTTGGTATTTTACGGGCTATTCATGCCCGTGCCACCCCTTGGGTGGCTTAATCTTCAATCAATCAATGCTTGGTATTTTATATGTAGTACTTACCTAGTTGTGCTTGCGGGGGTTGAGCTCTGGCTCTTTGGTCCTGCCTCTCAACTGTCAATTAACTAAAGCAGTCAACAAGTGAGAAGTCATTTGTGTTCGATGCTGAAAGTTTATATTTAGTAGAGGTGGGGTCCCTCGATTGTTTCAAGCGTGGGTTGGACATGGATATGAGTGGGATTGGGTGGTAATAAATAGGAGCTGCCTCGTATGAGCCAATAGGCTTTCTGCAGTTACCTTTGTTCTTATGTTCTTAAGTACTCACCTGCCCCCTCACAGTCGCCGTTCTAGCCCCCTTGGTGTAGTTAAAATTACATTCGAAGATTGAACCCTTCCAGTCTCGGTTGTCTTAAGGGGAAGGGGGGAAATAGGGGGGGGGGAGGGGTGTCAAATATTCTGACCAGGAATATGTCTTCACTCTTCACCGGTGCAATAGATGGTGGAAATTTGGCCATGGTGCTCAGGCTCGATCAGTGCACTGATATTTTGCCATTTTGGAGTCAAATCTGGCAATATTTAGGTATTGATTGCAGTGGTGGCCACTCTCCATTCTCACGATCCTGTGCTCACTTCAGAATGCAACTGTCCACCTTGTACTTTATATACAACAGCAGCACACCTTCTCCCGCCTCCTGCTCCGTAGTCATTTAAATGTCCTCACGACAGTGCCCTGAACTTGGATGTCTCTATCTCCTGCCTCAGCAGTCCGCTGCTGAGTGACCCTCTCAGCCACCCTTACTACATCCATGTCCCATCCTCTCTACCTATCCTTTGCTCTTTTTCCTCCATGCCTGGTTTGAACCGTTTTTCCTGTCTCGGCATCCCCAGTGACACTGTGGGTCATTTGGGACTCTACATTTATATTCCTTTCCCTCTGAATCTTTGTTTTCTTTCTATGTCATTTCTGTTGTAAAGTCTTTTTCTTGGTTGTTAGTTGAGGCTTAATACTGTAGCCTCTTATCGTTCAGCCATGGCAGAACCTTTCTTACTGGTGTGCTACAAAATTACAATTTGAGGACCAAGCATGTTAGGCATCTTCACATCACTGCACTTTTCCTGACTGCCAAAACAATAACTCTTACATGAAAACTTACCTGTTGATGACTTCAGGAGTTCTACTTTCAGAGACTGGCCTATGGCTAGCATTTCCAGGTGATGGCATGGTCTAAAAAGGTATTTGTTTTTGAACGCCAACATAGCCAACATCTAGGCTATTTCGGCAACTCTAACAGAATGATATACTTTTGCAGATGACATGACATGATTCATGCCCATACATGAATTGCTTATGCTCGCCTGTATTAGCATCAAATATCAACAACTTGGGCTCATCCTATTCAGCCCTGTTATTGAGACATTCTCTGAATATAACAAATATTGGATTATACAATATATAGATGTTGCTGTAGAACATGGGATTTCTCTCTGTACCTAATTATAATTGCAGGATGAGAGTTATGCTCAAGGTGTGTGTTGTCTTCCATATAATCTTTGCCGTTAAAGTTTTCAAGTTTCCAATAGTTTTGGCACCCACTACCCACGTGTTTAATTTAATCCATCTGTCTACTAGTCTACAAAACATTATTTATATACATTATATATTACAAGCTCATTCTAAACTTTTGTCTTTATATTTTGTTTAATTATATATGTGAACAGTGATCCATCATCCAGGCAAGTGATAATAATTTAGGATAAATAACAAGAGGTCATTAGGAACACAATTCACACTATTTATTTTGTTTGAGAAATCACAACACATGTATATTATTTATTATCATCAGTAATATTTCTAGTCATTACACAAGAACTGTACAGACTTTTCAAATAAAAACACAGGTATCAGTTGCGAGAGGGGGGGGAGTGGGGGGATGGCTGCCCAGGGGGGAGGGGCGCCGGCCCAGAGCAATGAATGAGGGGCGACCAGTGACCTGTGTAGATGAGGAGTGACCTGTAGGTAGGCCAGCAGGTCACATCCACACCACCAGTCACACACACCAGCACCACCTCCATGTCCACACCTATAACAATGCTTATTATTGACACACCTGGTATTTAAAACAATACCAAAAGAGTTGAGTAGAAGCATCCCAGGGCATGAGGTTGCCATACTGCTGGCAGGCAGGCAGGCGGCAGACATGGCAACCTACTTGTGACAGAATGGGGCATGTGTGGGCATGGAGATGCAGGAGTGGGCAAAGTGCCTCAACAGGCCACTTGCCCATACCACTCATGGCTGCAACAATGGATTCATTAAAGCTCAACAGCGAGAAGCAGAGAGACCTTCCGTGCCCATAACGGAAAAAGTGCAGTAACGGCAATAAATATTTTAAAAATATATGAAACATCTGGTATAAATTACAAAACTTATTTATGTACTCTACCCACATGGATACCTGCCTACCTTCAGAGCAACACACGACTATCCTCATTATTCTCATCATACACAAACTGAAGACTGCACTGACGTCAAACACAGGCTGGTACAAAACTCTCAGTAAGTCCTGGGTAGCTCAGAGCACCACCTAGGGGGAAGCCTAAACCTACTGTTTTCACTTTATACAAAACAAGAAGAAAAAAAAGATAGCAAAGTGTGAAGAAGCTGGCCACGAGCCTATGGTCATGGGAAGCTGTTAAGGGAAGGGGGGACGGGGAGGGTGAGGGACAGGGCGTGAGATTCACACCACCTCTGTAAGAGGGAATTGCATTAGAAGGTGAAAGAGAAAAGCTATATACACACAAAATGCTCTCAAAATATAAGCTATAAATACGGAGAGGAACGTGAGGTAAACTAGTCATGGATGGAATACGGTGCCACACACGTCACCAGTGACAGCGCTTGCACCCCCGACCCTAGCCGAGGGTGAAAAACGTAGCTACACTATCTAAAAGTGTATCAACAAAAAATTAAAGTGAGAATAAATAAAGCACATTAATGATAACATAAGAACATTTCTAATATAGAAAAGACTGGAACAAGACACGTTAGGTACCGGGAGAGGTTGGGTGAGACCGCCAGCTGAGAGGAAAGGGAGGTGAACTATCCATAAATGGTGATGGTAGTGATATAACGCTGCCACCACCACCATCACCACTACTGACATTAGCTCACCAACACCACTGTCACTACCACCACCACCACAGGCACCACAGGAAAGACTGGGAGAGGGAAGGGGGGCCTTGAGCCATGGGGGGACAACACATTAACAATGAGATCATGCGGCACACCGGACCCTTCCCACGGTATCCTGGTACACACCCTATACTACACCACCACACCCATGACACACCTATAATACACTCATAATATACACAATCATACATGTGCACCAGTGGCACCTTGTGCACACAATAACCACCATTCAAAAGTGACACCTGTGGTGGTGGCAAAGTTACAGATATGGTACCTGGTAGCCGAGGGAGAAAGACAGGGGGTGGTGAGGCTGCCAAGATTAGCACCTTGCACCACTGACCCTACACACCAACCACACCTACAGGGGTTGTCAACACTAAAGTATGCACACTACTACTGATCCTCTCGTCTTATTGCTTAGTAAGTCAAAAAAAAAGAGCCACAGCTGAAAATGTATTCACGGTCATCATGATCTGAAGTGTGGATGAGCTATTGACTTTTACACATTATTGAGGCGAAAACATTTATGCCAAAACATTATAACTTGCATAGATTACAATCGTTTTGATTTTAATTTCTCCTAAAAACAGTAATAATGTTTGCCATCAAGCAGGTGGTCTGATATGTTTGTCAGGGTCATGGGAAAACTGAAGCAGTGTTGGTGGTGGCCAAGCTGCCAGTGACCACGTTGGGGGGAGCTCACACGAGACTCTCACCTCCACCCGTCGGTCCAGTTAGCAGTCTGGGGAAACATCTTTAGTGTATTTTTAGCTGCCTCAACTGCACCAGTAGGGTTTTCTAGTTTCCAGCCTGAGCTATTGTGGAATAATGTCAGCACAATCTGTGAACTGCTACAGAGAATCTTCAGTAATAAAACAAATATATCCCCTTAACAACATACACATCAACAAAGCAAAAATGCATAAAAAAGTTACCTCTGGAAAAAAGTATCTGGGTTAAAAGGATCCCATTATCCTTTTATTCGATAAATTTACTTGGCAAAACTATTCATTACATATAAATTATTTGAGTCTTTGCCTCTGTTCCCCTCAAAATGACAGGTAATACAGATTTACAACTGGTTTATCAACCAATTAAACATCTAACAATATATATTCTTGTAGATAACAAAGATCATACATACAACCAACATTAATACAACCATTCCAACCCTCTAAAAAGGCCCACAACAACAACCCACCCACACGTAAGTCAAACACGCCTTCCCTCCCCCCCCACACACACACACAGTCTTGACATTCAGAATACAACCATTCATTTCCCTGCTGAAAGTGTCATTGTACCAGATAAAAGACTGTTAAACATGGCAGAGGAAACTTACAGAGCCATAAGAAACTATACTGTACAACCTGCCCTGTACCTGACTAAGGTGTATGTGTCCCCCCCACGATAATAACACAGACCACTACTCAGCTTCTAGACTGTGCTGACATATATCTCTATTATCTTCATCATGTCAAATTTTACTTAAATTATCATATACAGTATATATTATATAAACTGATTATTTTTATTTTTTTTACAGATTTCCCAAAATATTCAACATTAGATATATTATTTGTACCACACATGAATTTATATAAGTAAATTATAGCCTTAACTTGAGTTAAACATGGTGGGAAATATTAGCCAATTAACTACTGCAATTTGATGCTCCTTAACACAGCTCGACACCACAACCCTGACTGTCTACTGCTTGCGGGCAGACACCAGGTTTCAAACAGTTGGATACAAGAGTTACGTATCAATCAATAGTTGGATACAGACGCCAGATGCAAAGCCATGGCATTGATAATTATGTCAAGAATTATTTGTCATTATTAAATTAACCCAACATAGTCAGTATTATATATGAGCAATCAGAAGTCCTTGAAACTAGTGTAATGAGATTCTTAAGAGATATATTAAGGGAATGTACTTTTGACAGTCTACACACAATGCAAATGTTACCAACACCTAACCTCACATAATTACACAGTTCCTACAGCCTCGATTATTATATAGCAACATGAGCTGCATCTATATATTCAGGCAGTGCAAGGAAAATTAGATGACAACAAAACAAAATGAACTTGTATGATTGGTCAGCTAAGTTTATGTACTGCAATTGAACAGGTGTCGACCAGCAAAAGTGCCTTTCCTCATTATATCTCCAAAACATGTGTCTACTGTGAAGTAGATAGTACCCTTGAAATATTCATGGCTTAACAAACTGTATCAAATAGTCTGTGACAATTTTGTTCTGGGGGGTTTTTTACTACAAATCATTAAACTGCAAATATGGGTGGTAGATATAAACAAGTGTGTTAATATAATTTCAAAAACATCTGTCAACACTGTGCGCATGAATGATTGATGACTATATTGCACCAAAAGAGTATTGTGCTGTCCATATAAAAGGGTCTGGCTTCTTAATACTACTTTACATTATCTGTTGGAAGGAACTGTCTCAACACATACTTGTTCACAATCCTCCTGGACTGGGTACCAAAACCACTTATTTTTCATCACCATGTGGAAGCCAAATGGGACTCCTTGTTTGTCACTTCCACACACACACACTTCTCCACATCACAAGTTTCTGTCACACAGTCTGTAAAGATTGATGCACATGGGGGTAAGCTCAGTTCACTTCTGGCAGGACCTTCCAGTTTTATTGTTCACTGTTATGTGGGGCTTTTTAGCCTCTAAAATCACTGTTGTGGAGGACTTAGTCCCCAGTTTCACTGATAGAAAGTACTTGTTTTATGTCCCCTTGTTTACTGTTACAGTGGGACTGTGCTCCTGGATGGTCAACGGGACCATCCAGAGAGGTGGATCCTAGCGTTTGTGAGCTGTGGTGAATCTGCCACAAGGCAGATCGGTCAGTTGGCCTGTTACACGGCTCATGAGATCACTGGCCATTATTAGTGCACAACGCAGGAATGGTGATGCAACACTTGACGCTGTTCACTGAGGGGAGGAGTGCTGCTCTGGTGCATCACAATGCTTAGCAATTATTATTACCCTGTCATATATGGCAAACACTCCCTTCTCCACACACAGAGAACAGTTTACATACAATTAATCACTCAAGTGCCACAACCTCCTTCACTTTATCACTTGACAGTGAGGAGACGGAAGTGGAGCTTACCAGGTGCTCAAGGGTAACAAATATATAAAAAAGCTAAAACAAGGAACTGACACTGAGACGATACAGTGAGCATGGGAAACAGTGAGACCTATTTCCTTTACATGGCTAGTACACTACACCAGAGTACTTCTATCATTACTATCCTTGCACCTTAAAATCCCCCAAAGCCCATGCCCATACTGGTTTGTTTGATACGCTCCAGCACGGCATTCTGAGAGTAGCCTTGAGTATAGGGGGAGTTAGCATAAGGGGACGGGTAAGGGAAGCGTGGAGAGGGTACGTGAAACCCGGGAGCTGTTGGGGGATAGGGAAAAGTGGAGTGCCCTGGAGGGGGATATCCAGGTGCAGCATCACTATATTGTGAATAAGGGTATGGTAGTTGTGACCCTGTCATGCCCATGGAGGAGTGAAGAGCACCCATGGGACCCATGGAGGATCCACCCATACTTGAGCTCATGGGTGTGGGTGAACTCATTAGGCTGGGAGATCCCATAAAAGATGAGCCCATGGAAGGGGTTGGAGCCAACATTGAGGGGCTCATAATATCTGGATAAGAGGAGTGAGGGGGTGGGCCAGGGGCAGATGGAGGAGCAGGAGAATAGGACTGGCTGTACATGGAGGGGGAAGGGGCTGGGGCACTGCTCGTCAACGATGACACACTAAATGAGCTAGTTGACGCTTGTGGTGACCCCAGGTCATAAGCACTACTATACGACATAGTGGTACTAATGCTGCTATTTGCCAGTGAGCTCACACTGAAATTTGTACTGAGGTTTGTACTGTTGGAGCTATAGTGAGGGGAATATGGGTGTGAAGACTGAGGTGAGCCATAGTGGGAGGTGGGGTATGCTGAAGCTCCTGAGCTGCCTCCCCCTGGGTAGCTCTGGTATGTGGAGGTGGGCGGAACGTGACCAGGGCTGAAGGGGGCTGATCCCGCAGGGGGGCCAGGGGTAGTAGGATTGGAACAAGGGGCAGAATTTGAGTGAGCAGAATGTTGGCTGCTTGTTTCATGTTCATTTAGGCTAGGTATCTGGTCTACTAATGACTCAAGACCAGATAAGCTCTTCGATGCTACATCCCCCTTGCTCACAATCGTCGGTGACTGCCCCGGGTGTACAGCAGATGGTTTCACCATTGATGGTGAGTGTGAAGCGTTTGAAGGATATGAAGGGTAATTCTGGTATGAGCTGCCATCTACTGGGGTTGTGGGGTTGGAGAATTGGCCAGGCATTGTAGGGGTGAGTTGGGGCTGGTCCCTGGTAGCTAATGGTACAGATGCCTTACCATCTTCTTGATGACTTGGAGTGAGAGCTGCAGAACTTTGAGTGTCTGAAGCACCAATAGACATGTCTCCTTCTGGCATGCTGCTAGGAGGCTCAAAATCTGGTTGCGTCATGAGGGGCGATGCAGGAGGAGAAGAAAGACCTAAGTGGTGCTCTTCATCAACTTTTAAATCTGATGGCGTATCCGTTTGTTGTTGACCGTAAGATGTCGCTGTTCTTTGCTGGTGTTGAGGGTTGACAGGGTTGACCGCTGGACCAGGGGAATATCCTGGAGACTGACCAAACTGTTGTGGAGTTGGTCCTCTTGGAACCATTGCTGCAGGGTGGTTGGGGTTCTGATTGAGGCCTGGAGTCTGAGTGTGAACAGGGGGTTGATTGTGGCCAGGACCCTGATTATGGCCAGGGGTCTGGCTACCAGTGTGATTTGGGGTGAGGCTACCACCTCCATGAACAGGGGTATGGCTACCATATTGTGGAGAGAATGTCTGAGCACCTGGGTTTGGGCTAAACCCTGTTGGGGACATCATTCCATTCATATGTGCCATTCCTACAGGTGGAGGTGGGGGCTGCTGCTGACCTAACTGCTGACTTAATTGAGGATGCTGACTTAGATGCTGCGGATGGTGAAGATGTTGCCCTTGCTGCTGTGCTAACATTTCTTTTAGAGCTTTAGGTTTCCTTCCCGGTCGCTTTGGTGGAGGAATAGTGCCATCTTCTAAAACTTTCTTTGGTCTTCCTCTTTTTTTCTTTATTGGTTGCTCACCATTAAACATCAATGGATCTGTATTTTGAGGCCGAGGCCGAGGACGGGGCGGGGCATTCGGATCATCTGGAGTCTTTTTCGGTCTGCCACGCTTCTTCCTGATAGGTATGGTGGGACAATCCATACAATCTAGCTGTTCTCTGGTCATCCCATTTAGGTTAAAAAGTGTTCGCGGCATTTCTTTGCTAATTTCATCTTCCTCTGCCTCCATATCAAGTTTTGTAGGCATATCCATTTCTTCCTTGATAACTAGCCTATCCTCGTCATTCACTGGGGAACCCATGGGATCAGGCGGCCGGCATAGGTCTACCGGTGGACCCTCGCACCCAAGCTCCACCTTCTCACTAGGTTCCATTTTTAAATTCTTTACTTTTGCATTAATAAATGTAATTTCCTCTTCGTTTAATTCATCCAATGTACCTTTCAGGAAATCTCTGAATTTTCGAAGAGCCGTATAGAACGGGACTTTGTCAAGAGCCCTCGGAAGCTGTGCACATCGCGCTGACGATGACGGCATCACCCACACGTGCTGGAAAAAAGTTGAATCATTATAGGGTGAAAGTGAGAGTTTAAGCTCTACACAAGTGATACTAAAGCAGAAGCAACTTTAAATCATCATAATACTAGTATCTACAATTAAAATCTACAATTTACAGTTTCTTTACTTTGTCTCTGTTACAGTGCATTACATGCCTTAATTTAAATGAGAACCGCATGTGTGTATTCTTCCACAAATATTTTTATTAATTATTTACTTTCATACTGTTTAACGTCCAAGTCCAAATAGAGTAAATAAGAACATTTCCTAAAGAACGTGTGTGGCATGCTGCTTCAACTAATCAATCAAAAATACCTTAGTAATATCTTTTTAAATTGGTGGTCATAAAAATTATAGCACCTGTTATTATTAATAGTGTTTTTATGTATATGTTATATATTAGCCAAGAAATTGTTAAATGTTCTTCAAATATATTTATATAATAAATTGTCTTATACACTGCAGATATCTAGAACTCTCATCACACAGATACTGTACAAGGCAGAATCAGCAATAAACTAAATTTACAGTACGCAACTTATTCGTGAGAATTTAAATGGTCTATATATCTTAACTGAAAACTACCTCAAATATTTTAGCTTATATCTTCACAATTTGAATATTTTATCTTTCCTGATGGCACTGTATGAAAGATCATTTTTGGAATCTCACTTTTTGGGCATACAAAATTGTTGTAATGAATATAGTAAACATGCTCACCAACGCCATAAACACTCATACTTACTGTGCGAGTTCCTTCAATTTTTTCCGGTTGTCTTCCGAATGAAAATTCTTTTTTTCCAGAAAATATTTCATAAATTCCTTTACCATTGAAGACAGCAATTCGAGGCTGATATCGTTGCAGTTTTGAGAGTAGGATTTGTCCACCTGTATAAAAAGAAGTAGATATGTAATGAAAAAAGAACACGACCAAGGACAAACTCTAGAACATCGTGTGATAAACAATGAAGAAAATATGACTGCTAGAACACACATGAGAGTATCTGTCATAAATGCATACGCAAAAACTGAAAAATGTATGGGCCACACACTTATCGGAGTAGGTGATAGATGCTTTTTTTTCACATCCCATGAATTTATCTTAACTTTTCAAATATGTATGTTTAACCTGATACAATACCTTCTTTTATCTCTTTTCGCGTTAAATCTGCTGATCCCCGTGTTGTGCGAGCAACAATATTAGTGAAGCCAATGCCATGTTCTAACAAACGGAAGTCATCATCAGACGTTAGTGGTTCTGGGATCAGTCCTGACAGGTACAAGCATTTCCCTGCAACAAATGATTCTTACATTATTTATACAGAATATTGCCAAAGAGCCTAAGCAAATTACTAATTCATGCTCTATATACTGTATAGATATAATAATAAATGCTAGTTATTGACTCTTTATCAAAGTTAAAAATGAGCCAGACAAATATACGTACTGAAGGCAAAAACACGTACTGGAATATATACAGTAGTACTGAACAAAGAACAATTCTTTATATGATGCATAACTACCATGAAAACACCAATTATAACAATCTTTTTATTAGAAACTCAAGAAAATTTTTAACTGATATAAGAAAAATATATGTAAGGGGCAACGATGTTTCATAAAAGCTTTTGAAAAATATTTTATTCTTTCAAAGTGAAGATTAGAGGGAAATTTGATGACAGAAGAGTTAATGAACTAAAGAACTACAACTCAAGAACATTAAGACCGTATGTATGATTTAACATGGGATTTAAACTTAAGTACATATATAATACAGGAATTGCTTGAACAAAGGACATGAAGCAGTATATTTAGGAGGAAGCGAATCAGTGGCACAACGAAGACATAACAGAATATAAGTGTATTAGACCAAAATATTATTACAATACACAAAGTGGCAAACTGATAAAAAAAATGGGCAGCGGACAGAGAGAGGATACCGAAATGTCACTGAGTAAGAAGTCACAGAGGTTGTCTAGAGAGGAGGGTAATACACTGCCTTGTGATTTTTTCTACTGTACTTAAAAAAAAAAATCCAAACCCCATGGATAGCTTGTAATATAGTCTTTATTGATAATTAAATGTCTGAGACAAAAGAATCTTCCAAGAAATATATAGTAAAATGAAAATACAGTGTTAGTAATGGACATGCAGTACAATATGTATTAACTAAAGTATGAAATAACAATATTTTGACAAGTAACATAAGAGAACTGTTATGTTATCCTCCAATCTCCCCAGTAACAGAGTATTCTGTTCATAATTCAAATGACACAGTTGGAATAGTGATACTGTATATTAAAAAGTGCTTGATGTTATAAATTAGAATATGCATGACAATGTTTGCAGCATTAAAAATGTCACCATTAAACAATTCCCACTACTTCTTCAAGGCTATGGAATTTGGCACCAGCATCGTTTTCTTTAATGATTAAATAAAGTAAGGGTGCAGAAGCTGCAGCCTTAAGGCTGCATGCGACCTATTATTTTACTCAGTCCAGCCTTTTAAAGCAATTTAAATTAATGAAACTTGATCTTGTTTTGACATATTTGAATATATACAGCACACAATACAATCTTCGGCCTTATGAAATCTTCGCTAAGTAAAATATGATTGTCATATGATGACAGGTCCCCACACTGAAACAGAGCATTCATAAAACTTGATTCCAATTGTTTCAACGTTCACTCATAGACAGTATTTAAGCAGAGAGCTTCAATGAACACAAGCCGGCAAGATGTAAGCAATGAATGCATGATATTCAAAACTAGAACAAAATCTCGGAAATCTTTTAAGAACAGTAAAGTTAACCATCACAGAAGATATTTTTAAGGTGTTTTCTCATTTATGGAGCAGTAAACACATTTTGCCAAATCTCTATATACTGTATATCTGAATTTAAAAAATAAGAAAACAAATTTGTGTAGCTTCAGCTTATGTAAACTAAAGAGCCAATCCATTTAATAACTAGAGTACAGGCAATAGTACACACTGCACGAATTTGTAAGTGTGTGCCACGAAATGAGTACGTCTTCATCGAGCTTATGATATGTGTAACTTCATTAAGTAAAATAATCTCTTTTCTTGAGAAGGATGTACCATATGTTCACTATTTAATGAGTTTTCAACATCCTAAAATGTAAATTTTCCTCTTTGAAAGATTTATTTCCATACCCCTATTCATGACCCCAGTGGATATAATACATTATAATTAATTCAATGATTACTGATAATTGTACATCAATTATCAATCACAAATTACTTAATTAAACAGCACTGACAAAGATATTCACTACATACAAAATGCTTGCCAATTTGCTGTATGCAAATCCACTCGGTTTTCCAACAACGATAGAACATTAGCTAATATGATATATATAAAATGTTACATCTAAAACAAAATCTGTGTTTTGTAGCAGGACTGAGAAGGAACGTTCCAACAAACACAGAATACTCACAACATTATTTTCACAACAATGTTGCTACATTAGTGTTGTTACGTTGTATGTTTGTCAGACAACAACCAACCCTAACTTTTCCTCCTAGGTCTAGTATGCTAAATATTGTGTTTGTTAGGCCTAGCATTCTTACTTAGTCCTAGAACAGGTTAGGTTTATCATAAAGCTGTTTTTGGTTGTCTCTTGTTCTTGTAGAACAAAATTTCTTCTTTTTTGGGTACGACATTCCATATTTTGTATATTCCATCCATAGTAGCAAGAGGTACTGTGCTGTCACTTTAGTAGGATGGGTTTTGCACATCACAGACTATTAGCAGAGGCCGCAAACATTTCGTACAAGAATTTGTGAGTCCTCAAGAGTAGAAGCATGAAAATGCATGAATGGTAGTGAGCACAAATGAGGCAATAAGAAACATGAATGTGAACCAATGGCAATGAGCAACACTGGTGTGTAAAGAAGAATGGGAAAGCGTGAATGCAAACGAGCAAGACTGGGGTATTAAGAAGCAATGAAAGTGCATGGATGGCAACAAAGAAGATTGGGGCACTCAAGAAAGGAATTTTACAGTAACAAGGTCAGTAGTATTTGGAAACAATAACAGATTTTAAATATCTGTGTAGCAGGAGGATATATCGTGTCTGAAAAAATTCCAAAATATAAGTTGTATACTGGAGCCTATACAAAAAATGTGATACCTGTAAATGGAAATAGGTACGGCCAAAGAAGTGGTAATGTTTGCAGCTCAGCTGGCCTTTATGTGTGAGTGATATATGAAGACTCAATGGAGGACTTACAGAAAAGACAAGCAAGAACTCTTACTGGACTAAGAGACTTTCAGGTACAAATTAAAAGTTTAAACTAACAAAGTATGTATTCTTTTATAGGCACTCTCTTATACTAGGCAAAAAGCACCTAGGTTTGCATTTTTTGTTTACTTTTCACTAATACAGTATAGTATTTTTCCTGCATTTTATTGAAACGGCAGAAAACTAAACAATGTTGCATGAATTCACTAATACATCAGAAAATTTTAAAATCATTTAATATGTTTAAAACTTGCATATATTTCTTCAAAGTAGAAGGCTGATAGGGTTTGTACAGCTCTGAACTACCTTCTTTAATGAATCATTTTTCTTTACTTTTTGTAATTTCAGCATCCAAAGGTGTGGATGTGAAGAAGACAAGAAAGACTATCAGAAAACAATGTAAAGACACAAAAGAGACAAGAAAAGACATGGTATGGAAAATTGGATGTTAACGCATTTCCTGCAGTCACCAAGGGACAGAGGGCGAAGAGCTCACAGGGTAAGTTTTGCAACCTGGTTGTAGGTGATCGTTATTGTTCACCTCGTGGTTTCCGAAGGGACAAGAAACCTATTTGGCCTCTCAAAGTCCCCATAAGAATGCAACCCCACAACATCTGTCTATATTCTGGGTAACTAAGTGAACAAATGAATCAGATAAAAAGAAATATGTCCAACTATCTCTCCCATCCAGGGTCCTAGGATGTGAAATGAGGATATAGACCACTGCACAACATGACCCATTATGTATGAAGAGGCTCCGTCGCTGGTATGGTTATTATGGCCATGACAATAGCTTAATGACCAATCAGCAAGTAATTTTAGGCCAGAACATAGCTCAAGACTAAAGTTAATACTCAAATTTATATACACCAAGAAGTGGGATATACCTCTTTGTACATGTATCCCTTGTGACTTGTTTGTGGGCGATCATTACATGTACAGATGCTCAGTCGGTGGTGACCTTGTCTTCAAAGTGCCAACTGGCTCTTTTTTTGGAGAATCCATGTTTCACCAAGCAAGATAACACAAGTTAAAAATGGGCAGTCAACAACGGGCAATCAAGATTAATACCTTCTTTTCCGTTTCTTGATATTAATTCTCTTCTTCTTTCATTATGAAGTATGAATATGGTGGGCATGGGAAGGCGGCCATAAATGAACTGCCTATCCAATATCACTGAGAATCACCTTTTTTGACAACCTTACCACATAGATAACACAGGTCTAATGTCTTTCTCTCACTGGTATACTGCCAAGAATTGTTTATGGCCACTCCAATCTCGCCTCCACATTGCCCATCTTTAATGAGTGAAACTAAGATGTGTCTGTTATGAGTATAAGAATTCGCTGATCACTTACTTGTAGTTAATCATAGCGTTATACAATTGTGCACTCTATGCTTCCCACCAAACTTTAGTGCATTATCCATGGCATGTGTAATGTCAGTGATATATAAAGTCATTTGTGAAATGCAACTGTCAACAGGCAGTTGACCCTTGACCTTGCACCACTCTACCCAAGAATATATCTGCACAAAAGAGCTGGCTAGAGCCTTAACTCATGAATGCAGACCAATGATTTAAATACAGAGTTGGTGTTAATTGGTTTGTCCATAAGTGACTCCATCCTGCTCTGTAAGTGACACTACATACTGTACATGTAATTACCAAAATAATATGCTTGAGTATAGTTACAGGATGTGAGCCACACTCCTGGTGTCCTGTCTTCCCTTTAATCTTTGTTATATGTGCTGAAGCTTCCAATGGTTTTGGCATACACTACCCTCTCATTTATTTGATTCCATCTCTTTGTCACTGTTTGCAAGTTTTACTTTTTTTTTGCCACTTTCTTAGTTTGAATTTCTGTCCTCTTCTCAATGTTGTGGGACTCAAAATTCCTTATTAACAATTTTGACAATTCCTGTCACAAATGTGAATACCGTACAGTAATTTCAGTAATACACATTTGACATACAGTATTTAACGTCTTCAGCCTCTCCTCATAGGTCTTGTATTTTAGTTCCGTG